GCGGCGGGGCCGCGGCCCCGGCTCAGGCGGATGGCCGTGTCCAGGTCCTGCAGGGCGCCTGGCCGGGGGGAAGAGAGGCGTCGGGGCGGGCCGGGGCTCTCGGAGGCCTGCCCACGAGCTGGCCGCGCCAGCGCCGCTCACCTGCCACGTTGCCCTGCAGCCGCAGGGCCTGGGCCCGGTTGTTGTAGGCCGAGGCGCGCTCGGGCAGCAGGCGGACGGCCTCGCCGAACCTCTCCAGGGCCGCGCTCACATCTCCCGACTCGGCGGCAGAGACCCCCTGCAGCTCCAGCTCCCGGACCTGCTCCAGCAGCTCCGGCGCGAAGGCTTCCCCTGCGGCGGCGCGAAGCGGCACGCTTGGCCGGGGAAGCGGCCGGCACCCGGACACCCCGGGGGGGGAGCGGCCCTGGCGCCCAGCCCGCACCCCCACCCTGGGGTGGGAACGGGCACTGGCAGGGTGCGGGGAACCCCTGCCAGTTCCCAGTGGGAACCCCGACGCAGCGTGGCCTCACCTTCCTCCTGGGCGTCCTCCTCCTCCTCGTCCAGCCCAGGGATGTCCCCAAAAGGGGTGCTGGGGTTAAAGATGGTCTGCAGGACGGCCCTGTCGCTGGCCGTGGCCATGGCGCTCTGCGTGCCGAGAGCCCCGGCGGCAGGGTTGGTCCTGCCGCACACGAGAGCGGCCAGAGACCACCCAGGCAGAGCAGGGGCCAGACGTCCCCGTGCCCCCCGCCTCCCCTCTTCAACGGAGGGGGCTCAGCACCCCGCTCAGCCCGGCCTGGCACCCACGGGGCCACCCATCTCAGCGGAGCTGTGCATGCACGGCGACAACGCCGCGACCGCCCGCAACGCCGCAAGCAGAGCCCAAGCGCCAGGGACACAGGGAGGTTTATTGGGGGTGGAGCAGAGCCGAGATAAAGCAAGGCACTTTGGTACTTTTCAGTCCCCGGCCGTCAGCCGGGAGGAGGAGGAACAGGATCTCCAGCACCGGAGATGGCACGCTGCCTCGGCCATCTCACTCGCTCCCGGTGCCGCCGGGGTTGCGCAGCCGCCCCAGCATCTCGCAGAGCATCTGGTTGC